CCAATATCTGTCTTTGATAGTGTATATATATGCTGAAATAAATGTATTTGTACATGTACTTGTATGTGTGTGTAAGTGTGTATGAGGTGTGTGAGATGTTTCCTTCATGAGTTACTTCCCCTTAGCCTTGTGTTATTATTAATTATTTTGTGTTATTTTTTTCATTTGCAACATGTCTAAAATATTATGTCTCCTTGTTTATTCAACTTTGGCCATTTGACGGAGAGAATTTATATAGGCTTTGCCTGTTATTCAATCCAATTGATTATGACATCTTGTCAATAAAATTTGATGAAATGAAGAAAAAGTTATTTTTTTTTTAAATGGATATATATCTTGAAAGAAAAGGTCAGTTGTGCTATATATATTTATATCTTGTAGTGGTCATCACACTCGTCACTCTGTGGTGGGAGACCCAGGTTCAAATCCTGGTGGAAATAATAGTCCAACTTAAAATTATGTAAATACTGCAAACATATATAGACATAAGCAACTTGTTATATGCAACTCATTTCCCATTACTTGGTACATTTTATATAAATGAATGTATCCCTGTTAATTTGTTCTTTACTGTATTCATACAACAACAGGACATTCGAACATCTTGGTAGGCAGTGAGTATTACATTTATGATTTGTGAACTTAAGCTTGAAAATGGATTTTTTTAGTTATCAAAGTCTTGGTGTTGACCTCTTGTGAATGCCCTTTATTCGTCATGGTAACCTTTAAACCACTTCAGTTAATTTTTGAAGAAAAGTTACATGGTCAAATAAATGTAAGTCTTTATGAATTACATATGCATCTAATCTGCCAGGGGTTTGAGCCCAAAAGCGGTCAAATTGACTAAATTTTCAACAGTCTTCTTATTCAGGCACAGAGATGCTAAAATCAAATACTCTTCATAGATGGAAAGTCCTGTAGGCCTATTTTAAATTTATGAATATTTTGCTACCTCTGGATCATTCATTCCTCCTTGAAAAAGGGTAATGTTTAGGCTAAAACAAAACAAAAAAATGTTTTTTATGCAACATTCCCGAGAAAAATAGGGTTTGTCTGTAAGCAGGCAATTTTTTTAATTTTTTTTTTTAATTTTCATGGATCAGTATATTCCGTCTTTGCGTATTGCAGAGTTATCTTCTCTTGTGAGCAGGTATTGATTGTGACGTCATTGGTTTGTGTGAGAAAATAACGTCGTTTTCTCAAAAATTGATGACGTTACTCTCACAAACAATTGACGTACCAATCAATACCTGCTCACAAGTGCAGATAACTCTGCTATAAGAAAAGACGGAATACTTACAGGGTAATAACAAATGTATGAAAAATGAATTTCTATGCATTTCAATTGTTATTATTCTGTCAAGAATGTGATCAAGATCCCATGACCATAACAGTGCATGTAACTTTTGCCCGACTATAAAAATGATCTTCATGGATACAAGAAGTAGGTGATAAAATGTTCCTTAAAGGTCCTCAGGAAAAAATTAAGGTAGGTCATGATCAGGTTATCCGAAGTATATGTAAATCTTGTTTTTGGACTTACCCTAGTTTATATGTATATGTGGAAATAACACTTTTGGGTACAAATTTAAAGTTGGTTGGAATGACTATCATGTGACTGAATTTTGATGCTATGAAAATTAAGAACCTGGCCCTTCCCTAGGGCCTGTATAGGGAAAATTGGCTGAAATTTCATATGGAGCGGACACTGTTTGGGCAAATGAATAAAGGGCGAACTTGTCGGAGTTATTAAGGCAATATACCTTCCAACGAAGTTTAAAGTAAATCCATTAAAACAACCGCGATATCGAGCGGACATCGTTTCGGAAAGTGGATAAAGGACCCTAAGTATACGTCGGATATTGATGTTTAATGTCCTATTAACAACTAAAGTTATTTAAAGACGTGCCTCCATATGAGTAGTGTATGCGTTCTTTCGTGTGTGTATGCAAGAGACAGGGTATGTTGGTGTGGTTGCCTCCTTGTGATAGCGCGGATCTGATGCCAACTGTATAGTGCTATCTCACTGAAGTGCCATGCCTAATGCACCAAGCACAGCATTCCGCCCAGTCAAATTATACTGACAACGGGTGAACCAGATGTTGTCATTCCCCTTAATGCTGAACGTTAAGCAGGGAATAGCAACTACCATTTTTAAGGACTTTGGTATGCCCCGGCGTGGGGACAGAACCCATTGCCTTTCTCACCAGGGCGAACGCTCAACTTTCAAGCCAAAAGGGAGGTGTTGCTAAGCAAGGCGCTAGGAAATAAAAGGTAGTTAAAAGTAGAAAGAAAGCAATGGGCAATGGGCACAGCAGATTTATTTTGGTCGCTTTTGTGGACACCAAAGCAAATCCTTAATTCCGTTTGGTGTTCACTATAGTCGCCTCATACGATACATGTACATGCAGTGTGTAACTGCCAAGCAAGGCCCTAGGAAACAATACGTCTGTTATGAAGCAGGGAGAAAATATAGCCATTCCAAAAGTTGCATTGGGTGCAGCAGTTATGATTTGGTCGCTGGTGTGTCTCAAAGTGCACAAAAGCAAACCCGCAATGCTACAAGTGTTTTTCCACTATACAATTAACGGGTCACAACAAAAACTTATTTTTCTCAGTTTTTGATAAGCAGGGATGTGCTAATGGAGTTTTGTCATATACCCCTTTCCAAAACCTTAAACATTAGCCTAAATACTGCCCTCAGTCGAATGATCGTAGCTGTTATGATGATTTTTATATCAGCAGAAACCAAAACATATTGTATCGGTTTACTAGTATACATTTTATATGGTTTTAGTAATCGGCAGGGAAACTCAAAATGTCTAAAACTCGATAGTATCTCAATTGATCCAGGAAGGGGAGACTTTGTTTTTTGTTTTAGGTTTTAGGCAACAGCCAGGGTCATATGAGGACGCCCGCCTAGGGAGACACCGCCTGAAACAGAAATAGAAAAGAACGAAGACAGGAAAGGTAGAAAACGAAAAGATACGAAGTGTTGCAATGGGAGCAGCAGATTAATGTTGGTGTCTTCTATGTTCTCTTTGTAGATGATGTGCTGTCTCATTATCTCCCTTTATGTTTTATTCTGGAGTTCTCTCCCTTCCCTTGAACTCTTGACAGGCGGACATTTTTTGATAACGAAGCAGCCCACATGCTTCGCAATGTTTACAGACGAATTCAATCATCCCCACTGCAACTACCGTGTAGCTGTATTTATGTTAATTGTAGTATGTTACCCCATTGCTTGAACTATGACGTTTTAATAGCTCAGTATGATGTTTGTGTACATTTCTACATACACATTTTAGTATGCCTACGATATTCTGGATCTATGAAACTCAGGTCTATGTCAGTAATCCGGTACTGAATAGTGAAATCGTATATATATTATCTAATTATTTGCTAGGTGCTCTATATAGTACCATACGTGCAAGCTACAATTTAAAGTTTGAGGTATTTTATAATTAGCCTAGTTTGAGGCCGAAGTCAATCCTTGTTTGTTTTCTGATTATTGCTATGGTAATTGGTATGTTTTGATTTCCTTGCAAATGTAAAAAGGAAGGTTCCTTGTGGTATGAATCACTGCAATGTAATAATGTGGTGACATTTTATATTATATTGTTATGCTTGAATTTATTGGAAGTAATAATAGACTCAGAAACATCTTTTTTAATAATTTCATTTTATTTCAATAATCTTGATGCAGTATAAGAATTTCTGTAAGCAGTATGAGTGAGACAATTTTTGTATTGCTATGATTCAGTTTTTCACCTTCTCCGGAGGTTTGTGGAAATAAAGCCTTTAAACAGGACAGATGATATGGAAAGAAGCGCCGATTCTGCAGGGGACCACATATTAGTCGCCTTTTACGATACAGCTGGCGTATAGAAGACAAGGAAGAAACCATCTCGATTATGCAGCGTGGGGAGGGAAGACGGTTTATCTACCTATACTAGAGCACGGAATGGGATGTACTTGTTGTGAACCATGTACCGATTCACTGGTTTTCAGGAATGTTTATGTTAAACACGAGTGAACTGGACAGTCACGTGTGTAGGTTTCAATTACTTCCTGGTATCGAACACATTAGTGTGTAGCCAGCGTAAGAACAAAATGTAAATTTACGTCGCAGCAGCGGCCCTTGTGTATATACAAGTGGGTAGATTCGTGACACCCCAGTAATCCTGCGGCGAGAGAGAAGCTGTGTAATGGCGTCGCATTCTCAACTACTTGTCGGTATTTTCCTTTTCTTGTGTAGGTATATTGCTGGTAAGTCAAACATTACATCATATACCATATACCATATACCACGTACGTTCGTCACATTTAAATAGATTGGTTTAGTCGAATAATAATAATTCTAGTTCAGTAGCATTAATTTGGTGTTTGAGGACAATTCAGTTTTTGACTTATAAATTGAGGACAATTCAATGTCTTACTTATAAATTGAGGACAATTCAGCATTTGAAAGAAAAAATCATCTCGAGTATGCAGGATGGGGAGGGGAGACGGTTAATCTACCTATAATATTCTGCAGGGTTGGGAGGGGAAACGGTTAATCTACCTATACTATTCTGCAGGGTTGGGAGGGGAGACGGTTAATCTACCTATACTATTCTGCAGGGTGGGGAGGGGAGACGATTAATCTACCTATAATATTATGCAGGGTTGGGAGGGGAGACGGTTAATCTACCTATACTATCATGCTGGGTTGGGAGGGGAGACGGTTAATCTACCTATACTATTCTGCAGTGTTGGGAGGGGAGACGGTTAATCTACCTATACTAGAGCAGGGACTGGGTTGTACTTGTTGTGTGCCATTTAACGATTCACTGGTTTTCAGGAATGTTTATATAGAAATGAGTGAATTCGACGGTCCTTTGTGTAGGTTTCCATTACTTCCTGGTATCAAACACATAATTGAATAGCCAGTGATAAAACATAATGTAGATTTACTTTGCAGTAACGGCCCCTGTGTATATAAAAGAGGGTGGGTTCGTGACACCCCAGTAATCCTGCGGCGAGAGATAAGCTATACGTAATGGCGTCGCATTCTCGACTACATGTCACTATTTTCCTTTTCTTGTACAGTTATATTGCAGGTAAGTCAAACAGTATATCATATATTCTAATATTGGCACAGCAGAATGATTTACCATATAACAGGTTCACAGCATTTAAATAGATTGGTTCCGTTGAATCATAATTATTCTGGTTCAGTAGAATTAATTGAGTGTTTGACTTATACATTGAGGACAATTTAGTATTGGACTTAACAACTGAGGACACTTCAATATTTGACTCCTGAATTGAGGACAATTCAGTGTTTGACTAATAATTTGAGGACAATTCAGTGTATGACTCATTATTTGAGGACAATTCAGTGATTGACTTATAAATTGAAGGACAATTCAGTATTTGACTTATAAATTGAGGACAATTTAGTATTTGACTTATAAATTGAGGACAATGCAGTGTTTGACTTATATATTTAGGACAACTCAGTGTTTGACATATAAACTGAGGACAATTCAGTATTTGACTTATAAATTGAGGTTAAGTCAGTATTTGACTTATAAATTGAGGACAATACAGTATATGACTCATAATTTGAGGACAATTTAGTGTTTGACTTATAATTTGAGGATAATTCAGTGTTTGACTTATAAATTGAGGATAATTCAGTGATTGACTTATAAATTAAAGGACAATTCAGTATTTGACTTATAAATTGAAGACAATTCAGTGTTTTACTTATAGATTGAGGACAATCTAGTGTTTGACTTATATATTTAGGACAACTCAGTGTTCCACTTATCAATTGAAGTCAAATCAGTATTTGACTCTTCATTTGATGATAATTCAATGTTTGACGTATAAATAGAGGTCGATTCAGTGCTTGACTTATAAATTGAGAACAACTCAGTATTGGACTTATAAATTCAGTCTTTCACTCACAAATTGAGAACAATTCAGTATTTGACTTATACATTGAGGACAATTCAGTATTTGACTTATAAATATGGAACAATTTAGTGTATGTCTTATACATTAAGTGTTTGACTCATAAATTGAAGGACAATTCAGTGTTTGACTTATACATTGAGGACAATTCAGTATTTGACTTATAAATATGGAACAATTTAGTGTATGTCTTATACATTAAGTGTTTGACTCATAAATTGAGGACAATTCAGTGTTTGACTCATGAATTGAGGACAATTCAGTATTTGATTTATAAATTGAGGACAATTCAGTGTTTGACTTATAAATTGAGGACAATTCAGTATTTGATTTATAAATTGAGGACAATTCAGTGTTTGACTCCTAAATTGTGGAAAAGCGTTTGCATAATTATATTTCTAATTTCTTAATATGCTTTAGTTTACTTTTAATGTCTGTGTGGAGACTTGTTTAATGATAGTTTAAGACAAACCTATTCCGCGTCCGGAAATGCTTAGTTAGGTTTAACGATTACCAAAACCACTTTTCACTGGTAGAATGGTTGTTTGGTTGTACGAGGTTTACCGTCTTTTCAATAGCTAAGTTTATTTAAGGACGTGCTTCTATGTGTGTTGTGTATATATGCTTGCATGTGTGTGCCGGAGACAGATTATGTACGTGTATTTGCCTCCTTGTTTGGTTTGGTTTGGTTTGGTTTAGTATTTCTTAACGCCCTATCAACAGCTATGGTCATTTAAGGACGGCCTTCCCTGTGTGCAAGATACATGCGTGTAGTGTACGCGTGTGTGTGTTCTGGGAGGCTGCGATATGCTGCTCGTGTTTGTCTCCTTGTGATAGCACGGAACTGATGCCGACTTTATAGTGCGACATCACTGAAACATACTACCGAAAACACCCAGCAGGACACCCCACCCGGTCACATTATACTGACAACGGGCGAACCAGTCGTCCCACTCGTAAATGGCTGAGCGTTAAGCAGCAGTGTAAACTACCATTTTTATAGACTCGGTATGTCTCGGCCAGGTGACAGAAAACAGTAAAGGCTAAAAGTGAGGCGTTGGCAAGGGAGACATAAGAAAGAAGAAAGTTGTTTAGAAAGAAAAGAAAAGATAAGAGCCCTCAGTTAGTCGCCTCTTACGATTATGCAATGGGGGAAGTAGGTACAATTCGAACACCCTACCCGCAGAATTTTAAACTTACAGGTGGGTTACCCGTATATCAATATGAAATTGACAAAACCTGTCAGGTTTACTGACGCATTTGGTTTTTCACGCATGTATTCGCAAGACCTATACCGACCATTTCGACTTTTAACACTTTTAACATTCCATACCGATAAGGCGCGATATGTACCCGGTACAGGTGTACTCGACGTTATGGTCCTATATCATGTTCGTTTCTGCGGAACAACCGGTACGTCTGTTTTTAAATGTAACGTTTTTTGGTAAATGCAGGCCTTGCAAGGCTGTTTCAATGCTAGCCTGAAAGCAGGCACAGATGAATGAGTCCAACCTTATTTCATAATCGAACAACTCTGGTCTAATCGGTTTAACCTTTTGGACTGCGATAAACGAAAACGGCCCTCGTCTAATTGGTCTAATCTAAAGGGTTGGAGACCAAGATATGTATATTTTATGTCTTTTTATATCGCTCGATATGATTTCGATCAGTAAATGTCAATAGACCAAAGGCGAGGTATTGCCAAGTAAGGCTTTAGAAAACAAAACGTCTGTTATGAATCAGGGGGAGAATATATAACTATTCCAAAAGTTGCATTGGGTGCAGCAGTTATGATTTCGTCGCTGTTGTGTCTCAAATTGCATTTATATGCCACAATGGCAAACCCGCAATTCTACAAGTGTTTCCATCTATACAATTAATCGGTAAAAACAGAAATTTGTTTTTGACAACTTTGTTTTGACAAGCAGGGATGTGCTAATGGAGTTTTTTTATACACCTTTACAAACACCTTAAACATTGGCCTAAATACTGCCCTCAATTGAATGATCAAAGCTGTTATGAGGATGTTAATCTCAGTAGAAACCTAAACATATAGTATTGGTGTACTAGTATACAATATTTTAGGGTTTCAGTAATCGGCAGAGAAAATCAAAATGTCTGAATTGATAGTTTATCGGTCGATCCTGGAAGGGGGGACGGTAGTTCTACCTATACTAGAGCATGAGTGAATTCAACAGTCATGTGTGTATGTTTCAGTTACTTTACTTCCTGGTATCAAACACATGATTGTATAGCCAGTGTAAGTCTACGTCGCAGCAACGGCCCTTGTGTATATAAAAGTGGGTAGATTTGTGACAGCCCAGTAATCCTGCGGCGAGAGAGAAGAAGCTGTGTAATGGCGTCGCATTCCCAACTACTTGTCGCTATTTTCCTTTTCCTGTACAGGTATAATGCAGGTACGTCAAACATTACATCAAAGATTTACCATATATCACGTTAGCCACATTTAAAAAGATTAGTTTAGTTGAATCCTAATAATTCTGGTTCAGTAGCATTCAATCAGTAGGGCGTAATAATTGTACCTGCTGCCCCCATTGCATGATCGTAGTTGAGCGTTCGCCCCTTGACTCATAAATTGAGGAAATTCAGTGTTTGACTTGTACATGGAGGACAATTCAGTGATTGACTTATACATTAAGGACAATTTAGTGTTTGACTTATAAATTGAGGACAATTCAGTATATGACTCATTAATTGAGGACAATTCAGTATTTGAGTTGTAATTGAGGACAATTCAGTGTTTGACTAATAAATTAAGGAAAATTATGTATTTGACTTATAACTTGAGGACAATTCAGTGTTTAACTAATAAATTAAGGAAAATTATATATTTGACTTATAAATTGAGGACAATTCAGTGTTTAATTCATAAATTAGGACATTTTAGAATTTAACTCATAAATTGGAGACAATTCAGTGTTTAACTTATAAATTGGGGTCTATTCATTGTTTGACTTATAAATTGAGGACAATTCAGTATTTGAGTTGTAATTGTGGACAATTAAGTGTTTGACTTGTACATGGAGGACAATTCAGTATATGACTCATACATTGAGGACTATTCATTGTTTGACTTATAAATTGAGGGTAGTTCAGTGTTTGACTTATACATTGGGGACTATTCATTGTTTGACTTATATATTGAAGACAATTCTGTATATGACTCATTAATTGAGGACAATTCAGTATTTGACTCATAAATTGAGGACAATTAAATATTTGACTTACAAATTGTGTGCAATTCTGTAAATGACTATACATAGAGGACAATTCAGTATTTGACTCATTAAATGCGGACAATTCAGTGTTTTACCTATTAATTAAGGACAATTCGGTATATGACTTAAAAATCGTGAGCAATTCTGTAAATGACTCATTGGAATATTTATCACGAATGTATCTAAAGACTTAACATTCTTCAAAATGTACTCCACTGTAATATCCCGTATACATATATCCACGCTCTTTCCACGTCACGGCTCCCATATATTCATGCATGTATCACACAAACATACTTCCTTGACAATAACTGGATAAAGGTAACTGTGATCTTAATTTGATCTTTATCATTTAAATACTAAAATAATAGTTCCGGAGCATATCGCGGCAATTGTTTCATGGATGGCCATCCACAATTGCATATAGGTTCAGCCAGGTAAGGAAATCTCTTTAGATGTGAAGGTGATGTGGTTATAGTATGGTGTTATGAAATGAGGTCAACGACCAGCTATATTACCTTATCCTCAAGTACTAACACTATTTATACAGGTGTGTGGTGTGCGCACGGTGTGTGCACGAACAAAGCTATACTAGGCGATTACATCTAACGCACATCCGTGCTCACGTTGGACAAGCAGTGTGCGATGACAATCGTGGTTGATATAAATAGAGGAATGGCTATACAAATTAATATTATTTCGTTTCTAAAATTATTTTGATTCAAAGTATGTTACCATATATTAACGAGATCTCTAGGTTTTGTCTTCAAATAAAGACTTATTTTAAAAGTTGGGTTTTCATGTTTATGTACAATTGAATAACGGAGATAAATCCACGCGTGTTAGTATACACGTCGGCACGGTCCAATACAAATATACCTCTTGGTAAACGTTACTAGGTGTTTCTCGTCACACGGGAGACTTGAGTAACCTTCCATGAGAAAATACCGCTGGTGACTCAAACAAATAGTTTACGACACATCGTATATTATTTTACCTCAAATACGTAAAAGGGACTGGATAAGAGATATCGCCGTAAAACAGTTTTATGCGTGTTCATGTTGACTTAACACAATCTTTTTCCCTTTAGGTGATTCAGTTATGGTAGTTTTAAATTAAGTGTTCAAATTCTTGTTTCTATACAACAGCACAGGTAGACCAGGACTTTGACGTCCGCCTAGAAAACGGTCTGTACAACAACAGTGGCCGGGTTGGTGTGTACCATGACGGACAATGGGGCGGGATCTGTGGTGATTCCTGGAACTACAATGATGCAATTGTTGTTTGCAGAATGATTGGATACAAGTAAGTATCTAAGTTATATATAGTCTTACAGGAATAAGGAAATACAGAGTGTGCGTATACCTTTCATCTGTAGCATATCAGTCACACAGATGATAACTGTCCGTTGATTTGTTTCGCCTGTTTTTGTATTGTTTTACGGCCCATCGACAACTTGGGTCATAGAGGACCCAAACAACAATTAGTATAACAAGGTCATACACTTACAATAAACGTTCATAAAATTGAAGGCAAATGTTAAAAAGAAGAAAATATGAACATCGATAGCAATCGATTGGTTGGGCTATATTTTGTTTAACGTCCTAATAATAGCTAAGATCATTTAAGCACGTGCTTTCATATGTGTAATGCGTGCTTGTGTGTATGAACATGTATGCCGGATTGGTTTGGTTTAGTATTGTTTTACGTCCTATCAACAACTATGGCCATTTAAGGACGGCCTCCCCTGTGTCCAACATGCATGCGTGTAGTGCATGCGTGTATGTTTTGGGAGGCTGCGATATGTTCGTGTTTGTCTCCTTGTGATAGCGAGGAACTGATGCCGACTTTATAGTACTACCTCATTGAAACATACTGCCGACGACACCCATCAGGACATCTCCCCGTTATACTGACAACGAGTGAACCAATTGTTGACATTAAATCCATATGTGTTGTGTTGGCGTGCATGTATGTATGTATGCCGGAGGCTGTGATAGCGCAGCTCGGATGACGACTTTATTGTGCTATCAAATTAAAATACCATGCCGAAGGTACCCAGCACAGCATTCCACCCGCTCACATTATACTGACAACGGCTGAACCAGTTCTTGTTAATACCCTATATGTTGCAAGTTAGGCAGGGAATAACAACTACCATTTTTAAGGGCATTGCTATGTCCCGGCGTGGGGACAGAAATACAAATTTCTGTATGGTTTAGGTTTATACCTTTTTATTTGAAATTTTAAAAATCATTTTTATAATATCTTACCATTTTTCTGTGTACCGATATACAAGTTTGAGCCTTTTACCATTCAGTGTCTTTTTGGTGTATTAGGTTTTGTAAGTGTTCCTTATTTAATATTGATGTTTGAACCGTTATGACCTAACTGTTGTTGGGTCGTTGAACAATCAACTAAGTGTCACTCTAATCACTCTATTTCAATAACTACACTTAATAAGTATGTTCATTTTTATACTTAAATGAGCATACATATATTTACAGTAATGGAACTACAGTTAGCAGATTTCCGACCAGCGATTCCGCTTGGTATGAATTGTATGGTAATCAGACAGAACCAAGCCTTGTATGGATGGGTGGTGTACAGTGCACTGGTACAGAGTCTAGCCTTGCAGATTGTCCGTTTAATGGTTTGGGCAATGTAAACTGTAACGAATACTACGGCAGAGCGTTTGTTTTCTGCTATGATGAAGGTAACGTATGTATGTTTGTTGTTTATAAATAATGTGCGACACGGGTAATTACGATCAATACATCTGTAGATGCAGAAAGTTTGAGTTTTTAGTTCACCTGGCCCGAATGGCCAAGTGAGCTTATGCCGTGGTGCGGCGTCCGTCGTCCGTCCGTCGTCTGTCCGTCGTCCGGCGTCAATATTTTACTATAAACAATGTCTTCTTAATAACTAGGGTGATGATATTTGGCCAGAAGCAAACTGGAAAGATGGGCTACCAAGTTTGTTCAAATAAATGACCTTCACCTATTTTCAAGGTCACAGGGGTCAAATATGTTAAAATCTTTAAACAACTTCTGAATAACTAAGAGGCCAACGGTGATGATATTTGGCCAGTAATATGCTATGATGAAGGGCTACAAAGTTTATTCATATGAATGACCTTGACAAATACTCAAGGTCACATGGGTCAAATATGTTTAAAATATTTAAACAACTTCCTCTGAGTAACCAAAAGGTCCAGGGTGATGATATCTGGTCAGAAGGATGTTGGCATGAAGGGCTACCAACTTTGTTCAAATGAATGACCTTTACCTATATTCAAGGTCACAGGGGTCAATTGTCTTGAAAATCTTTAAATGACTTATTTTGTATAACTAAACGGTCCAGGGTGATGATATTTGGCCAGAATGATGTTGGCATGAAGGGCTACGAAGGTTGTTTAAATGAATGACCTTTGCCCATATTCAAGGTATCAGGGATATAATATGTTGAAATCTTTAAACGACCTCTTCTGAATAACTAAAACATACAGGGTGATTGCTTGTTGATGTCATTGACCTTGATACACTCACTTTCGTGGTCACATCTAGTCCATATTGCATAAGTCTTTTAAATTTATCTTCTCAATAAACAAAAGGTATAGGGTGGTGATATTTGGCAGGTTGCATTCTTGGAGGAAGGGCTGTGAAGTTTGTTCAACTAAATGTCTATGTTTGACTTTCAAGGTCACAGGGGTCAAATGTGTTTTAATCGTTTAACAGGTTCTTCTGAATGACTTGAAGTCAAGACACTGATATTTTGCCTGTAGCTTTATTTCATTCCACTTTTAAGGTTACAATTGTTAGATTAATACCAGATGAGCGATGCAGGCCCTTTGGGCCTCTTGTTTGTTTTTCGACCCGCCATCATCAGATATTCAAATCGCCCTTCATCCGGGTTCCGTCCCTTAAGGATGTAGTCAGGTGAAATAAGAAAATGTTAAAAGAAATCAACAATTGTGTAAACCATGGTTATTTTAAAAGAATAATATGGAAAGGACTAAAAAACGTTATAATAATGATACCTTATGGGCATTGTTAAAAAAATATGGCCTCCTGAAAACACCTGGATATTTTTAATTATTCCGCCTATAAAATCCCATATCTTGATACCTGTATCAATGAGATTTACCTGATATAAGGTAAAGAAGCTTAAAAAATATAATTTATCTCATGCATCTTCATAACAATTGTATTTAAGACACCACTTTACCATATAAAATACAAAATACATAAAAGCTTCTATGCTCATCTATTTTATTAGGTCATATATGTAACATACTACAGATTCACAGGTTTCGCTATGTATTTAACACCATTCCCTAACGACATCATATTTCATATATAACCAAAATCTACAATTTATTATAATTTTAGAATTTGATAGGTTAAACAATTCTTATTCATTAGAAAACAAAATAAAGATATGTTATGGATCAATTTGTTTAGTTAATTCATACAAAAAGAAGGATTTCAAAGGTTATACCTCTATTTCCACTATTGGGCCCCGCCCTTCTGCCCTGGGGGCCACGCCCACCGTTTAAACAAAATTGACTGCCCCTGGACTAAGGATCCTCCAGACCAAATTAAGAGGAAATCCCTTAATCCCTATGGTAGAAGGATTTTAAAGGTTACCTCTATTATCCCTATTCGGACCCACCCCTCTGCCCCTAGGGGGGCCGCATCCATCGTTTATACAAAATTGAGTCCCCTTGGACTAAGGATGCTCCAGACAAAATTGGGATGAAATCCCTAAATCTCTTTGGAAGAAAAATGGATTTTAAAGGTTTTACCTCTATTTCCCCTATTGGGCTCGCTCCTTCCTACCGGGTGGCCACACCCACCGTTTATACAAAAATTGAGTTCCCTTTGACTTAGGATGCTCCATACCAAATTGGGATGAAAACCATTAATCCCTATGGTAGAAAAAAAGGATTTTAAAGTTTTACCTTTATTTCCCCTATTCCGACATTCAACACACGAACAATCTTTCCACTAGCCAAGTATCAATGCTATGCCATGTTTAGCATTTGAGAAATGGACATATCTGAGAAATAAACCTAAATGCAAATTTTACCGGAGTCATCCATGCGTAAACTGTAGATCAAAATGACCTAGCTAACAGTGAACCACGTTGTACTACCAAAGATCTATAAACTGACCAAGTATCATTGCTATACAATGTCTACTATCTGAGAAATGGACCTACACTTAAAATTGAACCTATCGGGTGGACCTATGGACATACATACGTACAAGTGTACCTACAGACGGACAAGGGTAAATCACTGTAAAGTTTTAGATATGTGCAAGCCATGCTCACAGTATGTTTACTTGTTATTAAATTGCTTAATTTTAGGGCTCAGGAAAGTAATTTGACACAGCTTGAATGATCTTAGCAGCCTTTTTTTACTCTTACACTTTTACCACAGGTCTCAGATTATAAACTTTTGAGTCCATCTTTACCATTACTATTGTAGGCAATTTTCAAGTTATGGAAAGACAAATTACTACCAGCAGCTTTCCTAGCCATACCTTTGCTCAAAATTGTATTTTCTACAAGATCATTGTAAGATGAAATATTTTTCTTTATACATATAAAGTAAGCATGAGAGGATAAAAAATAATTACAATCAAAAGCAGCCTCAGAACATGAGTGAACACGAACATTGCTTTCATCAACTAATAGCTGTAGAGATGTGACATCCTCTAAGGCATCATGTGCATTGTAATCATTACCAGTTACAGCTTCATATACATTTTCTAGTGCATATGAAGACAAATTTGGCAACTTTAAAAAAAAAACAAAAAAAAAACTTCAGTATCAATAAAGCCATCTACAACATTTACAAATTTTGAAATTTTAACAATGCATTGAATAACGAAGGACAATCAAAAACTGTAATGTTATGTCCAGCAAGGAAAACTGGTTTGGGAACTTGCTGTATAAATGACAGGAATCCCTCAATTGCACATGATATACTGGATGGGGTTACCACTTTGCCATGGTGAAAACATTCTGCTCCCTGAAATTGATATGCCTGTGATATCTGATGCACCTTTGGAAATAGGTTGTTTCGGAAAGACATAGATGCTCCATTTCTTGGCACCATATACTGCTGCCATATGTGTTATGTGAGAAAAAAATGATAAACATTCAAACCGAGTTTAAAATATGCCTGAGTTGGTGGTGATTATTTAGTCACATTTGGTATATGTTATAACTCAACTGCTACTTTTAAATATAACATTACGTGAATGTGAATTATAAGTTGGGAAAAACAAGATTTCTGCAAACAGGTAAAATAAATGATGAAACTAGATGTGTCATTATGACACGGATGCACGGGGCCCGCAACAAACTTCTATGACAATGTTGTTTTTGAAGTTAAAGGTCATCAACTCAAAGTTGATCTTTAACTCATCAGTATGTAACCTCATAGCAACAATCAAGTCAATATATTGAAATTCTTTAATTTCATATTCCCATCCACTTACAGTTTGGGTAAACACTATGATAAAAGTATAATTTTGCTTTAAATACCTGCTTCATTTTGCTTTGCTAGCAGTGTCCATTTACTGATATGAGGGATATTCAGCTCCGAAAGAAGACTATTGACTTGCCTCTCGCCAATGCCGGCATGTATCATAGCTAGAACATAAATATCATCCTTTCATTTTCAAATTCATTTTGTTATGTTTGTTATATTACTTTGTGATTAGATGTGTTATTCATCTCACTCATGGTAAAATATTTAACACCTGTATCCCTTTCTAAAAAGTTAGTGTTCCACAGGTTCGGTTCACGTATTTGAGTGATATTTCTATTTTGGGGGTTCCCAACCAATTATTTGGAACTTTTGCATTAATTATCAAGACTGGGATCAACATTATGTTTAACTTTGTGTCTAGTAAAAGTTGAGAGTTATATTAGATCAGGTGGCAGCCAAGGTCACAAATTTAGTATATCCAAGAAATATCTACCATACAAAAGTCCAAATTACACTGTATAATTTATAAGATTTTCATTTGTGATAAAAAATACCTGATGCGAGCTTTGTGTTAGCATCCCAAATCCTGTTGTGTCTTTTAACAGTTGGTACATGGTTAACAAATTTCCATTCAAGGTTTGAACATGGTACATGAAAACAAAATGTACATGTACATTAACATAAAATGTAATGAATGATTTAAATAATATACATGTATATATACATGTGTATGTATAGCATCTTGAAATTGAAGCTGAGAAACAGGGGAAATACGAGGTTCACTATTTCGTGCGGAATACAAATAAAAGGATCAAAATCGGCATTTAATTATACCCATACTGTAGAATTTTAAATTTGCTATAAGGGGCCAAGACCCGGGAGCAGGGGGTGGCGGGGGGCAAGTAAAAGGGGAGATGGATCTTGCATAGTAAGGGAAGGGAAGTGTGAGTTAAGGGGAAGGGAACCGGGAATCGTAATTGGTTATCAGTGACATCCATAATTCATATTTTTTTTTTTATTTTGAACCTCACCTTAATTAGAGCTGATAACCCATAATTTATCATGGCTGTACAATGGTGCAACTGAAGAGGCAGGCCACAATTACTGCATGCTGACAGTGCATCTGCCAACACTCCCAATTCTACCACATGTCAACCGTCTCTCCATACATCTTCTCTGGTACTTAATGTCCCTTCCTCTACAACTAAACC